TTTGGACTTGCTATTTTTTCTTTCATAATTAAACTTCAATGTAAGCTTTGTCTTCTATTGTAATTAAAAATTCTTTTAAATTACTCTTTTTTCTAATAATGATTATATATTCTTTATTTTTTTAATATTGATATTATCATATGTTTTTAGACATTGAAGTTTTAAAGTCCTATTAGCTTGTTGTTGTTGCCAACATCACAACTTGAAGTTTTTTCTTTGATGTATGTCATTTTACTCTATCTAATAAAGAATTTTTTTTTTACTATTACTTGTAAATTATTAATTAAAAAAAAAATTTCTTTTGTTATTCCAAATCTAGTATTGCAACCCTAAATTCTAAGCATAAGCTCTAATATTATCTTACTAAACTCATACAAAGTTCTTCAAAATCAAAAGAGATTTAATAATAAAGTAAATTAAAATATATAAATGAATAGTCTTAATTTATAGCTATAGTGGAGCAAATTGATAGACTTGATCTATAAAAAAGATCAAAAAAAATATATATATGAAGGTGTTTATAGAGGATGATGCCAATACGTATTAATAATACCAATAATTACATAGCAATTTTTTAACCACAATAAGATTATATTAATTTGAGGAAAGCCTAAACATTGCAAAGATAGTTGTATTAGACTTAATGTCATTTTTATTTCTATAATGGTATTTGATAATTCCATCTTTTGATGTATTTTGGTAATATTTGTCTATATAACAACTACATTTGAAGATGGTTAATACATGCATTTGTTGCAAGTGTAAAGTTCTAAGTATCAATTTTTATAAAAAATATCACTACATTATAGATCATTAGTGTAGCAATTGGTGTAGATCGCATAAAACTTTGTACTTCACTATTGAAATAATTTATTAAATAAACTTTATTTGCTAATTGCAACAAATACAAACTATGTATACAAAACGTCTTTTGACCTAATGTTAAATTAGTTTTTTGCCACTTATAGTCTTATGTAATAAATATCTACAATATAAGTATAAGCTCAGTATTCTTAAAGTTTGATGATATTGATAATGATGTATTACAAAATATTAGTAATACAACAAAAGATACTTGTGAATATTATTAAAATAAATGTATAAAATATTTAATTATTTATTTAACTAACATATCAATATTAATTATTTCAAGTCATGAATAAATTAGTCTTTACTTTAGGATACTAATTTTTTGATTTTCAAGAATAAAAAATCAATCTTAATACAAATCAAACTTTTGGAATTTATAGATGTATAAAAAAATTTGCGTAGAAACACAATTGTGTTTAAAGGAGTATGTGCAAAGAAAAAAGAAGAAAGAGTTCAAAGTTCACTCAAGTAAGTAATGAAAGGCAATCAACTTTCTTGCTTATGTATTCAAATAAGAATTAGATTGCAAATGAATTAAATATTCTTTACCACAAATTTTAAAAATAAATATATAATTATGTAGGTATAGAATTTTATCTACTATAATAATTAGATTTTATTATATTAAAAATTCATACTTGAATGTGAGGAATAAAATCATTGATTTTATTAATAATATGGATATTTTTTTATATACTAATTAGCTTAGATTAATTAATTTCTTTGTATTTAAAACTTTATGCTAATTTTTTTATTTAATTAAGAATTAATTTTTTCTATTTATATATAAATATCAAATTTTAGATTATTTTAGAATATATATTATTAATTTATTTATTTATACCTATTTTTTTATTTTTTAAAATTTCATATTTTTTTAAAATTATTATATTACTAAAATTTTAATAATTTTATTATTTTTTATTATTTTATTTTTATTATATTTTATTACTAAATTTCTTTGCTTTATTTTTTTATTTATGCATATGCAATTATAAAAAAAATTAACAACCACTACATTACTTGCAATGAACATGTATTTCAACCAACTCACAATTAAAAAATTTTCAAGTTTAAGTTATAATATTGTCATAAGGCAATGATTGTTAGCTTATCAAAACGATCTTAGCTCCATTAGTATTAAAAATAAAAACTTAAAGAATGCAATTGAATATGTAAGATATATCTCAAAGAAGGATGATATAAAGGGAATGAAAAAGTATGTATAATCAAGAAGAAAATGGAATAGCTATTGCTAAAGAAAAGAAAGCTATAGACTCTTGAAACTAAATTAGAAGCAAAAAAGGAATTGATAAGAGTGAAGAAGGCCTCACTCTTGCTTCTATATATACTATCAAAATTAAAGAACTAAGTAGTAACATTTTATAGGTCATCCAACATGTGTCCAACGTACAAAATACATGCCTAACTTGCAAAGTAAGTTTTTAATATGTACATCACATTGCCAACTTGTACAATAAGTAGTCAACTTGCACAATACATGGCCAACTTGTCAATTAATTTTTTAACCTATTAATTAACTACAAATACTTAAAAAGTCAAATCTACATCTATAAATATATTCTACAAGATACAATTAAATTTACCCATCTCTACTTCATTCTTCTTATTTAAGTAATTACTAATGTTAATATGTATGTGGCTAAATTTGACTAACAAAATAAAGGCAAGGGCTCTTTAAAGATCTAATTGGCCATTAACAAATAAAAAATTGCTTTAATTCTTTCCAATCCTAGCAAGGTTATTATGCTAAAAATTAGATTTATGCTCTTATTTCTAAGATGACGTTAAAGACTTGCAGACCAATACAAGGAATTGCCAATGACACTCAATGGCCAAGAAATGGATTAGTTTGTGAGTAGTCTTAACCAAAATTCTTTATCTAAACATCATTATAAACCATCTCTTGATTGATGATAAGGTTGCCTAATAATAAAAGAAAATTTGTAGGTAGAATTATTATAATATAACCAACTTTAGATAGTATGGTGAAGATTTTAGATAATATGATTAAGATTTTAGATATAGTAGTAAAGATTTAATTAACATGGCTAGTATTTAGATTTTGTAGATAAAAATTGGATAACATGGCTAAAATTAAATAAGATGGTTAAAGACTACATAACACAACTAAGATTAAGACAATTTTTTTACTACTTAATCCATTGTAAAAGAAACTTAAAAAATCTCATTTAAAATTTTTAAAAAAACTCCCTCTCATATTATTAGACTTCAGTAGTATTGCACTCTTAAGTGGTTAGATAAACATATACCATTTAAAATCCAAAGCTATTTGGATAATACAAATAAAATCCAATTTTTTGAGCCTTTAGCTATGTCTATTCAATTAAACTTTTTGTTAATATAATTTGCACGTGGATTAAAAAAAAATGAGCATTTTCAAGTCTTTACATATGTAATAATAGGTAGATTTGTAAGAAAATTTGCTTAATATCAATTACAATCACTTTAGAATATTTTATCAAAATTAAATATTATGAATTAAAAATAGATATATATATATATATATATATATATATATGTATGTATATATATATTTATATATGAATATGAATAATAATTCTTATGAGTGAAAAATTAATACTAATATATTTAAATAGAAAATTTTATACTTTTATATTTTAAAATTTTATATATTTATTTTAAAATAAATTCATACTTTTACACTTTAAATTTTAAATATAAAATTTAAACATTTATAATAATATTTTAAAAATAAATTCATATTAAAAAATATGTCTAAATGTTTTAATGAATTATACTAAAAAGTATCTTTAAAAATTTTAATAAATTATATTAGTAATTAAAATATAAGAATAAAAATAATAAAAATATTTTATATATTTTTATCAATAAAAATAAACATGGTTAAGTATTGTAAAATAATTTTTTAATTATAAAAAAATTAGAAATTATACTTTTTAAAAGTATACAAAGTAAATAATATAAAATAATTAATTTATCAAATATAACCTCATAATATTTATGGATATGTAATAAAAAATAATTTATACGAGACTATAAATAGAAATATTAAAAATAATTATTATAAAATATTAAATAATATCCTATATATATATATTATGAAGATAAAATTAATCTTTTTACTCAAATTACAAAATGGCCTCAATGAAGAGTTGTTTTTAATTGGTGGTATAAAGTAGAAGAAGCAAATGACAAAAAAGAAAAATAAATATAAAATAAGTAAAAAAATACAATCAATCAATTACATATTATAATAATAGTCACTATCTATTTATTAGATTTTTTTGGGTATATATATACTTAATTTTTTTAATCTTTAAAAAATTTTAAAAAATAAAAATTCAAAATACTAAGAATAAGTACATTGAGAAGTACTCCAACTACTATTTAGTCAAAATACTTCAAACACAAATTATAGGCACTCTAATATTTGTTTCTTGGACATTGTTGTCTTTGAATTTGATCTAAGTACATTGGGAGTAACAATATATTTTCTTATCATGCATATCAAATCTTTGTATTCCTGTTTTATTCTTAAAATTTAATAATTTATGTTCCTAAAAAAAATTGCCTTTTACTTATTGCTTCCAAATTTGAGGGACATCCAACTAAGCAAGAAACAAAACCCCTTTGACTAAACTCAACTTTATGAAAAATAATCCGTAAATGATATATCTCTGAGTCTTTAAATTTGAGATAAATTTGGTGGATGTATACCTACTTTAAATCACTTTAATTATTACTTAAAACTTTCCAATAGCTCTCTTTCAATCTATCAATTTTTCAGAAAGCAAGATGACACCAAGATATCTGGACTTTATCTGGACTTTATTTCCCTCTCATATTTATTTTTCCTTTACTTGCTATCCACTTTGACACAAAAATAATTCCTCATAACTTGGAGCAGATGGGATTGAGATGTAAAAGTGCAAGTGACTAAGAGAAATACGCTTCTCATTAATTCAGCGCCCATGAAAACGCACAACGGATGACCGCGTCAGTAGGACCAACCTTGCTTTGACAATGTCAGAGAAATCTTGTCCAGTGGAAGCCAATTAACGAACAACGCTTGAAGAAGCCTTCATGAACTTTGTTTGTGGCTTGGGAGTGGAAACGGGGGAAGGAAGGGCCCTCGGGAGTCACGCCCATGTGCGGCGAGGGGTCCAGGGACGCATTCAGCCATAAGCTCCATGAAGAAGAATAGAAGAGGAAGAAGACCATTTAGAGAGAAGAAGAAGAAGGGCTTTACACTTTGCATGACAGCCGCTCATTCCACGTCCCGACGCTGCGATCAAATGAGCGCGAGGCAATTCAAACCAAACTGGGCCACGCAGAAATGGGCCGTGGCCGTGACCCCCTCTGGAACACTTCAATGCTCCATCGATCGATCATGTGTCCTATCCCGGCCTTCTTACGGAATCCATCGTGATTCGAGGACCCCCAATCGGACTGACTCCATTTAGTGTAGCTGGAATTAGTTATCCGAGATCCGATTGAGCCTCAGCAGGACGGGCGCTTACGCATTGCCAGAGAGAGAGGGAGCCGCCGCAGCAGCGTTGTAGCAGCGGGCAGGGAGGGACTCGGTTGTGGTCGGTAGTTGCTCCACCAACCAGCGCTGTTGCTTTGCTTGATGATCTTCTTGTGGTGGTGGCTCTAACTGCTGCTGGCTACCTGATGTTGTTGCATCTCTTCAATACTGGGAGCTTCAGACATGTTGGAATTGGGGGAGTTGGGGGCGCGCTGGAGGTTAGGGTTTGGGAGGGCCATGGTGTGTTTGTGGTATGCTCGGAATGTGGTCATTGAGTAATCTAGAGTTTAGAGTTTGAGATGTCATTGAGGTGGTCGTGATGAAGGGGGGTAGCATTACGGGAGTTGGAAATGGAGCACCGTCTGTGACGCCGTTTATGTTGCACAATTTGACGAAGTCGTTGCATGAGGGCAAGGAGCGGGAGGAGAGCGGGGTTAGTGGGAGTGGGAGGAGGGCGTTGAGTGAGGGAAGGAGGGAGAGGGAGAGGGAGAGACAAGCGGGGGCGGCGGCAGCTGAGAGAGCGTATGAGTTGAACAGGGAGAAGGAGAGAGAGAGGGTGCGGGAGCAGCAGCTGCGGTTTGAGGCGGAGAGAGAGCGTCGTGATGGCGTGGTGCTGTGCAAGGAGCGGTCTGATGGAGTGCAATGGAAGTATGTTAGTAAGGATGGGAGATCTGGAGAGAAACCGATGCAGGTCATGCATGCTCAACAGCACCGTGACCCTGTGGCTGTAAGTCTTATTCCTAATTTGATTGTTGAATGGGCATTGAAAAGCCTGACTTCTTGAAATCTGTGTTATAAATAGCATCTATCCAATGGAAGAATGGTCTTACGAGATGCCTTTTTGAGTTTAGTTCGTCTTTTACTGCCAACTACAATTCTGTGCCTAGATGTCGGAATTGGAAGGGGCAGTTTCTTGCTGATTTTGTTGAATGGCGCGGTACATTTTTGAAGATAGATGTCTAGGGAGGAAAATTAATTGAGAGCTAAATGGATTTCCATGTTCTAAAGGGGACGTGGTTAGAAATAGTTGAATGTGAAGGGCTGATACTTATCACCAGCTGTAAGGTTTTTGGTTTAGATCTAAGATTCTGATGAACTGGTGCTCTTGTTGCAGGAATTAGTTTCATTTGTGAAATCATACATTGTACCGGAAAATTATCCCGACAGTGTCGCGCCTTCCTACACACCGTACATGCAATGGCGTGCTGTGCAGGTTTGTACAGGCTTGCACGTTGCACCACAATGATTTTTATTTGTTTATTTATTTATTTATTTTTCCTTCTCTCTCCTCAATTAGTGCATGTCTTCTGGTAATGATTATGATTGGCTTTCATCTTCAGTGTTTCTGGAAGACGTTGGACTAATATTAAGTAATTCATTAGTTGCTACTTTAGCGAGTGTTTTAGAAGCACTTCTTTGGAAAGTGAATCAGGATTCACCTCATCAATATGAGGCGTTACTTTGGCAGATTCTCCCGTGTTTTGGCTTGTGTTACGGGTGCCGTTTCCATCTTTATCTTTGGAGCATTGCATTACCTTGACGGAATTTATCTGAGTGGAAATCGTGCAGTATCTTTTTGGCGGTGCAATGAGCGTGTTTACTACGCGGTCGCTGATGCACGCGTTAGGCGTATCTAGAGGCGCTTCTGCATCTTCTGCTGTGGCTGTTAACTGGGTCATCAAGGTCAGTATTGTTGTTAAAGTTCTGGCGTTGTAGTCTTTTTCTGCTGGCGACCAGGATTAGCTTTGTTATGTGTTGTCACATTTTCAATCTTACAGATTTTGTTCATACACCGTTTTGGTGCACGGGTAAGATCATGTGGTGATGTATCGGCTTTCAATCAATACCGTTGAGCAGGACGGAGCAGGACGTATAGGGAAAATGATTTTCGCTCGACATGGCAAGAAATTCGATGTGGACCTGAAGCAGGTGCTGTTACCTGCCCTTGTCTCTGTCGAACAATTTCATATAGTCAGGCACGTTTGTGCCAAGCAGTGTTCGTCCTATGTTTGAGCAAGTATTACTGCTGTGTATGAAGCTTAAGGGGGTTTTTTATTCGACAGTTGCGATTCAAAGGAGCAATGTTGATGCAATTAGGCGCAGGCGTTGAGCTTGCTACCATGGCTGTGCCTCATCTTTTCTTGCCATTGGCATGTGCTGCCAATGTAGCCAAGGTATGTCCCGGGCTTTAGATTTGCGTAGAGAATACCTCTAGATATGAAAGTCAAAGGTTCGGGTTTTATTGGGAACTCAGAAAAATAAAAGAACCTACCTTGGTTCGTGTGTTACCTTTTTCTTTTTTGTACCTCAACTTATTTTACTCATAACATTTTAACACATAATCCATTGTGAACTTCGTTATCAGATCTTTATCCACAGCTCAACACGGTTTTGAAGTGTAATTGTGGCTGTGTGTTCTATTAGAATGTGGCGGCTGTGACTTCGTCGTCAACCAGGGCTCCCATATACAAAGCCTTTGCTCGGCGGGAAAATATCGGAGATGTAACAGCTAAAGGAGAATGTATCAGTAATATTGCTGATCTGGTAAATACTTTTTTGGCCTTTTCAGGGTCGTTGTGTTTATTTCAAGGGATAACTGCTGAGGGAATCCTATTTTCTGGTTCATACTTCTGCTACTTCTTCAAATTGTAAAGGGACCATAGGGTATTACCGATTATCAAGCGTGGTAAATTTGTGTCAACCTTACCTCTGACGTAGTACCCCGGTTGTTTTATTGCCTGATTAGTGATGTTTAAGTGCTCCTATTTGATGTGGAATGCACTCTGAAACGTGCAGATGGGGACTGGACTAGGAATTTTCATTTCAAAGAAAAGTCCTTCTTTAGTCGCCACTTTCTGTGTGTTGTCGTGCGGATATATGATCTCATCTTTCAACGAGGTGAGTCCATCTCTAAGAACGCATGAATTGGTTGCCCTCAACTATTGCAGAATTCCGTTTAACAAGAAGTTGGGTATATTCATATTAGCTTCATATTCATATCTCATAATAATATCCACTCTTACGGTTGTGTAAAACTGCTGCTTAATATTTACATCACTGGTCTGGTTACCACATGTAAGTAAATGATTATCTGTACCCATCGTTCTTCAGATTCTTGTGGTTCGTGATTTCAAACTTTTTTTGTCCACTTTTCCAGATCAAGTCGGTTCGTCTGGCCACTCTGAATCGGGCTAGATTTGGAGTAGTAGTACAATCATTCCTCGAAACTGGTATGGCTGTTCTCCATCGTTCCGTTTTGCTGGGTTTTCCTATATCTGAGTTGTGAAAGTGAAAGTCGTAAAATTGTAATGAATTGAAGGGTGTGGCGTAGGTTTCAGATGCTTATATTCTAGTTAATTCGAAACTTGGTCTAACGAGTACATTGGTTTGTACTTGTCAGGGAAAGTACCCTCGGTTGAGGATGCGAACAGAAGGGAGAGTGTTATAACACTTCCTTGGCAAGAAAAGCCACTGGAGCTTGGTATAGTGCATGTTGTACTCTTTTCTTGTTGAATGTTAACGAGTGAATCAACACAGCATTAGTGTTTGTCACTTGTTATGCCTTGCTTGGATGTGCTTAGGCTTGTATTGTGGACCAGGGGTTGGAGGCACTTAATTCACAATGAATTTATTTATTTACTTATTTATTTTATCAAGGGTATGTTAAAAAAGGGTTGGTGGCATAGTTGATGCCATGCAAGTGTGTAGAATTTGATTGGATTCAGTAACTTTCTCTTGCTAAGGTAATATGCCTCTCACCATACATCTTTTCCAGGCTCCCGAGTTGCACAGGCGTACTCTAACCCAAAGGAATTTCTAAGAGCACGAGAACAATTTCAGAAAGAGAAGTATCTCGTCACATACAGTCTAAAGAAAAAGCGTGCATATGTTGTGATTAAGGAATCTGCTTCCTCTGATGATGTCGTTCGGGCTACCTTCCAGGTGAATTTCTATCTCTTCGACATGTTCATTATTTGAATGAATATTTCTGTAACATTCCGAGCCTAAAAAAAGATTTTCCTATACGTTATGTTCACAGATTGTTTTGACTACTTTTTTATCCTTTTCTTTTCTCTCCCTCACCCACAAGCAGCAGTAATTTTCACGTTCGAAACTCACTTAATTTCTTCTAACTGGACTTGAAGGCACATGTAATGCTGCATATTTTACGAGGATTAAGAAGCACACTTATTACCAGCAACGTTGGGGCTATCGTGGAAGAGAGCACTAAGCTCACTCATGATTTGTACGACTCCTTCAAAGAAGAGGCGAAGTCCCAGGTGAGCTATTGCGCTTGATGATCTGAAGCTAGTTTTACTAATGTCTAAACATTTTCATTGTTATACTTATCTAAAACAACGCTCTTCATGGTGCACATTGTTCAATGACTGTTAGTTTTGTTCTAGCACTCAAAGCTTTCTTTGTTTTACAGGGTTGGATGATGGGAGAAACTCTGCTTAGTCCCGGAGATTCAAGACTTTGTGATTGACAATTTTGTAGAACAGTACTTTTTACCTCATTGATTCACAGCTTTCCTCATAAATTTAGATATATCAACGAGTAACTGCTTCGTCCCTGCTTGTAACATTAACGGAAATGCTTCGTCATTTTGTAGAGTATTCATTTGATGTTTTGGGTGTGCCACTAAGTCGAAGCATGCATTTTAGTAAGGAGTTTTTGAGGTGCAAATAAGGCTTGCAGACGAGATTGGACATCCCTCTGCTGGACTTCTGTAACAAGTGTTAACATGAAATATATATTTTACCTTGCTATTGTGTTCAATAGTTTGTGCATTTTACTTGTCAACATTTGTGTACATGCCGTGATGTCCGAATTCTGTATGACCAGACGAACGTGTCCCGACATTAGTTGAGCGCGAGTACGTTAGAGTTGAAATAATTGATGTTTATAACGATGGTACATGCAACATAAGCACGGACAAGTGCCTTGTTAGAAAGAATGACACGTATTTCTTATAAACTAATAACTTATATAATAATATATTTATACCTTTATAATTGTAGACTCTAAAAACAAAGGGATAGACGAAGTCAAATTTAAAATTTATAATTGCAGACTCTAAAAACAAAGGGATAGACGAAGTCAAATTTAAAAATATAAGGAGGTCAAAAAATTGAAGACATCAATGTAATTTTCTACTCTTAGTCCTAAATCTTAAATTTTAAAAATATATTTAAAAAAAATGTCAACACATTTAGCAATAAGTTTAATATTATATACTTAATAAATTTTAAAATTCTATATTTTAGAAACTACAAACTTTCTAAAAATTCTAAAAACACCACAAGAATCAAGAGCATTGAAACTAGAGAGGATGTCTTGAGACACCTTTGTAATCTTATATTTTAAATCCTAAATCCTAATGGAGAAGTGCTTAAGCATGTGCCATGGATATAATTGACAGTAAAAATTACTTAAATAAGAAGAATTAAGTAGAAGGAAGTAAAAGTATGTAAATTACATAATATCTTATAGAGAAACTTCTTAGAATTTTCATAGACATGGATTTGATTTTTTATGTGTCTATAGATGATTGGTAGGTTAAAAACTTAGCCAATAAGTTAGTCATGTGTTGCATATGTTGGCCACTTGTGATACAAGTTGGCTATATGGCATATATATAGAAAACTTGCCTCCCAAATTAGACATGTGTCTTATAAGTTAGACATATGTTAGAGGTCCTATAGAATGTTGCCACATAGTTCTTAATTAGATAGTATTTATAGAGACAAGAATGAAACCTTTCTCACTCTCGTCAATTCTTTTCTTGCTTCTAGTTTAGTTTCAAAAGTTTCTTATTTTTTAATCTTTGGCTATAGCCATTCTAGTTTCTTCTTGAATATAAATACTTTCTTATTTCTTTTTTGTCATTTTCTTTGGTATATGTTTCACTTATTTATGTATATTTTTTGAATTCTTATACTTAAAAAATTCATAAGAATATGCTTAAAATATCAAAGCTTTGTCTTTTTTGGATTTAGAACAGATTATTCTTTTCTCTTGATAAGATATTAATATATTAGAAGTTGTGGATTATCCACTTTTAAATTGACATCTTTTTCAATTTTTTCTTTTTTCTTAAGTTGTCTTTGTTATTTGTCTAAAATAATATAAAACATCTTCTTTTCTATTGTTTTCTTATAGTAAAACTTGTTAAAATAAAGAATGCAATAGCACAAATACAAGAACAAATGAGAGAGTTAATGTTTGCAATACATCAATTCAATTCACCACTACTTGTCACGGACATACGCATGTAAGTCAGTAATTACATATATAAAGAAGTAGAAGTAAATAAAAGTAGGTAAAAATAAGTTAATTCTATAATATTTGCTATAGAAGCTTCCTAGAAGCTTTATAGATACTACTTTGACTTTATAGGTGTCTTTAATTGACTTTTTGGATTAGAAATATAGTCAACAAGTTGGCCATGTGCCACACATGTTGTTAGCTTGAAGACCAAGCTAACTATGTGGCCACACGCAAAAAAACTTGTCTTATAAGTCAAGGCATGTATCTGTCACGGCCATAATCATGTAAGCTAATAATTACATATAGAAATAGGTAGAAGTAATTAAAAGTAGATAAAAGTAAGTTAATTCTATAATATTTAATATAGAAACTTCCTAGAAACTTCCTAGACGCTGCTTTGACTTCATAGGTGTCTTTAATTGACTTTTTGGATTAGAAACGTGGTCAACAAGTTGGCCATGTGCCACACATGTTGTTAGCTTGAATATCAAGCTAACTATGTGGCCCACACGTAGAAAAACTTGCCTTGTAAGTCAAGGCATGTGCCCTACAAAGTCAACACCTATTGGAGGTCCTATAGAACGTCGCCACGTAGCTCTTAGTTAGATAGTATATATAGAGACAAGAGTGAAGGCTTCTTCACTCTTGTCAACTCCTTTCTTGCTTCTAGTCTAGTTTCAAGGGTCTCTAGTTTTCTTGTCTTTTGGCAATAGCCATTCCAGTTTCTCTTTCAATATATATATTTGTTTATTTACCTCTCTTTGAGTGAAGGCTCACTTGTCTGAATTGTTTTTCATCGAGTTCTTGTCCTTGACAGTATCTTATAAAGTCAACACATATTGGAGGTCCTATAGAATATTGCCACATAGCCTCTAGTTAGATAGTATATATAGAGATAAGAGTGAAGCCTTCTTCACTCTTGTCAACTCCTTTCTTGCTTCTAGTCTAGTTTCAAGGGTCTTTAGTTTTCTTGGCTTTTGGCAATAGCCATTCCAGTTTCTTTCTTAATATACATATGAAGTTATTTTTATTTTGTCATCTTTTTTTGAGAGAAATTTCACTTGTTTATTTATTTTTATCACGTTCTTGTCTTTGACAGATTCACAAGATTACTTTTACAATATCAGAGCTTTGTCTAATCTTGATTAAGAGTGGATTATTCCTTTCTCTTGATAAGACATAAGCATAATAGAAGTTGCGGATTACCCTCTTCTAAACTAATATTGTCCTTAGTATTTTCTTTGTTCTCAAGTCCTATCTTCTATTTATCTTGAGCGATATTAGACATCTTCTCTTTTTTGAGTGTTATCATGGCAGAACTTGTTGAAATGAAGAGTGCAATGGCACAAATGCAAGAGCAATTGAGGGAGTTAATGCTTGTAATGGATCAACTCAATTTACCACCATAAAGAGCAACAAGATTAGCAGGAAGTGAAGATATAGAAATAATTGGAGCTACTTCAACATCTATACCATATCATGTCTCTTCTCTTATGGTAGAACACCCTTCCAATGTTAGAGAACCAAGAATTGTCCTACCCGAGAAGTTTGATGGCACCAGATCAAGGTTTATAGGATTTATCAATCAAGTACAACTTGTGATTGAACTTCAACCCCAAAGCTATCCAACTCCAAGATTGCAAGTAAGATTCATTGATATGCTTCTTTCAGATTCAGCATTATCATGGTTTTCATCTTTTCTTGAACGACAAGATCCAATATTGGATAATCTAGAGACTTTTTTGGTAGAGTTTCGATCCATGTATGGAGAACATGATGTAATTTCTGTTGCAACCAATAAAATCCATATTTTACGACAAGATAATCGATCAGTAACGTTGTATGCTTCACAATTTTGACAACTTGCAACTGATATCAAGTGGAATGATGTTGCACTTATTAGCCAATTTCTCTATGGATTACAATATGAGGTAAAAAAAATAATATTCAACTTACGTGATCCTCAAACATTGAGTCAATGAATTGATTTTGTTGTAAAGTACGACAATCATCTTTTTGAATTTCGATTTAAGAACCGTATAAGTGGACCTCAATATTACTATAATTTAATGGCAACACCAACATTTCTTCAATACATACATTTGGAAGTAGAGGATATGTAAATTGATGTGGTACGTTTCAAACCTCTTACTGAGAAAGAAAAGACTTATCATCATCAGGAAGGATTGTGCTTATATTATAGAGAACCTAAGCACAGTGCTCAACATTGCTCAAAGAAGTGACGCAACCATAAAATAAAGAGTACAGCGATTAAAGAAGATAGCATATCAAAAAACGAATTTATCCAGCTACAATAGGGATTGTATGGCTGGAACCTTGTACAATGCCTAGTGAAGGTCCTATCCTCTCCTCAGAACCCTCTCTATGTTTTACGATAAATATTTTTCTAGGACCTAAACATCACAAAGCCTCTACCTTGCTAAATTCAAGAGCCTCAGCATATTTTTTAGATGAAGAATTTGCTAAAAGACATAGCATATTTTTAGTGAAGAAAAATAAACCTTTTCATGTAGAAGTTAGAGATGGTCGTCCACTGTTTTCATGAGATGTTACTCATGAAATCCTTCCTATAGAAATAGCAACTAATAGTCATAGTAGCTTTGTCATATTTAATATCATTAGATTTTCTAATCCAGTTATTTTAGGTTTATTTTGGCTAAAAAAATATAATCTTAAAATAGATTGGACTTCTCATAGTCTTGACTTTTTTAAAAGTATAACTAAAAGCATAGTTAATCAAGTAGAAAGTCATAAGTCTAGTATAATTAAAGTTATATTTGTAGGTGCAAGAACTTTCTTGCATGCTGCAAAAGAAGGATCACCTTGTGTCATTTATGCCACACCTATTTCTACTGGTGGAAAGACTTCAAGTGGTATTTCAAGCCAATATCAAGATTTTCAAGATGTATTTGAGAAGAAGATTGTGGTATCGTACTGTAAAAGCTTACAGTATGTAAAAATTAGTTAAAACATATTATATGTTAATAAATCTAGATGTATGTTAGAATGGCTAATAGATTAATTTAAAGAGAGTGGATTTAAGAAACTTCATTTTGAGTTTTATCTTTTTATATTATAGCATTTAAAATAATTGTAAGACCTAAATATTTAGTATAAAGACTTGAGAGGAGATTAGAGCCTTAAGAAGAAAATCTTAATTAATTAGAGGCTTATTGGAAGGGATGAAAGCAAGGCATGGTTGGATGAAGGCAAGGAATGGAAAACTTCATTCCTATTAGTCGAAGGCCATACCCAATGGGCTTCAAGGAGGCTACCCGAGGCCTTATTATGGATTAGGATTTCTCTTTCGAAGTCACTTGAGCTTTGGAGAATAGGATCAGCAAGTTCAAGATTTTGGGTATAATTTGAGTAAAAAATTTGTGTGATTTTGAGTTTTTGTGAAGGAGATATAGGTGTTCAAAGTTAAGGTGTCAAATTTGTACCTACTATCACTCATTGAAGCATAACATATGTGTATAGAGAGCAATAAAAGATTGGT